ATTTCTAGCGTAATCTCAAGGAATTATTAAATTTGAAAATATATATTAATAATATGTACGATTGGACGTATAATAATGAATATCTCACATGTTTGAAAAACATCAGTGTACGTACGTTGGTAAAGATTCTCGAACGAACTAGAATTTGATGCATGACAGATCAAATGAAGTGGTATTATAGTATCAAGGGCTTTGCTTTACTAATTTAAGCTAATTATGACTTCAGAGAACATAATATTATATGTGCACTTATCGGACAGCATACAAGGTGAACATCATCACTTATCCTTTTTTATTTGATCGAACTCGATAATTAAATCGTGTGTGTCATGATTTAATTTTATTCAATGTCTTTCCAAATCTGATCTCTTCTAAGAGATATGTTAATATCAGGAATGAAGAAAATCTTCTCAGCAAGATAGACCCGAATTGTTCATTTTACATAAATGCCCCCTTAGAAATCAAGTAATTCGTTTCCTTCGCGAGAAAATTGCTCAAAGGATTTTCCATCGTGTTCTATTAACTCTTCGTTCATTTAAAATTGAATGATAAGAATAGAACCATTAACGAGTTTAAATAACCAAGTTACCTTCTTTTCTACTGATTTACAACGTATTTAAATTTTTTATCGGTTATATTTATTACTACGCATACGTACGAAGATATAATATAAAGATTGTATGACGAGAATTTTGATAATAATGTCTTCTGATTCTCTAATATTGAAGAAAGAAATTAATTTCATTAATTTGTTCATTTGCGATAGACGTGTTTCAGGAAAAATTGATAAAGTTTTTTTTTTCGCGCAACGTACATACTTAACGAATCTAATGAAACATTCTTTACCTCTTTTTCTTCTCCAGATCCATTTCGACAATCATGGCATCCATCTGGTCGTTCATGTTTTTCGTGATATTCTCCGCAGTGGTTTCCTTACTGTTCATCGTTTCCTTCAGTTCCATCAGCCTGAAGCAAGCGAAGCGAAGAGAAAGAGACTGTGTAGAGAGAGACTTAGATTGTCAGAGAGTGATCAGAGCGACTGGCTATTCGGTAGAAACAAAGAGAACAACCGTGCTTCGAAGCTGTCCCGCTGTTTTTCCATTTTCGTAACGAGGTTCTCGCTGTTCCTTATCGTTTTCTGCATATCCTTCAAACGTTGCTCCATTGCCTGTTCCTTTACTTTCAGTTGATTCTCGAGAGACTTGTTCTGGGTCTGCAGCTGTTGTATCTTCGTCTCGTCGCAGGCTATTTTGTTCTCCAGATCACGGATCTTCGTACGAGCCCTTTGCAATTGGCCCTCGTTCTGCAAACGACGTTCCTTCGTCACATTGTGCTTCTCTCGTTCACTCTGAAGTTCATTTGAAAGTACGGCCAATTGTTCACGGATATCTTTTTGTTCATCCAACATGTTATTAAGTTCCTTTATACGCATACGAGAATTATCGTATTCGTCGTAAAGATCACAAGTGTCCTTTACGAGTTCTTTAATAGCTTCCAATTGCGCAGACTTCATTTCTTCCAAATGTGTTTTTAAAGATGTATTGTCACCTCGATAAGATTCTAAATGCATTAAAAATTCTGAATTCTTGGACTCGTCAATATCTTCTTCTAAATTCTTCTCCAAGGATACGATCATAAATGTATGTTTTCTTAGTGCTTCTTCGCATAGATCTTGATACCTCTTCGATATTTCTTGCAGTTTGTTGTTCAAAGTTATTATGAATTCGTTGTCCATGTTAGAATTATTATTGACGTTAATGCTAAGATTATTCGTTTTGTTAATCTTTGTTTGTTGCTCATTAGAAACAGCTTGTTGAACCTTTGGCTCGATTATAGGAATTTTTGACGAGTCGATTTCTATGATCTTAAGTTCTTCCAATCTCCCAGGATCCTTTACACCATTGAGTATCATCTTGTCACGCAACTGAGATATATCTTCGTATAAATCTTGTGTGGTTTTCTTATACAAAAGAAAGACAGATTAATGACGTTATGTCAGTTTTGGCTCTTAATAAAAAAATTTATCAAATAATTCCTACTTGTTTTTGCACGAGTTGTTTCTTCAAAAATACAAAACTCTTCTTTTTTACATAGTATTGCTTTTCAAGATCGCGTGCCTGCTTCGTCATTGATATCGAAGTAAGTGGCTTTTTATTCGTTACTTTCATAGTCAAACGACGAGTTGAATTAGTTGGTGTTTTTGTAGTAGAGTCTCCTAAAGCATTTTGCTGTTGTTCCTTTTCACTGGAGAAATTTTCCTGATGAAATAATAAGAATTTTTGTGAAAGGAGACAATTGTATTTTATTTATAAAAAAAAACGAAATCAGTTCGTTGGTTAGATCATTAAGAGGTTACATATATCTAGACGGATTAAGAAAAGGCAATTCCTTTAATTCCTTTTCGTATATAATTTATTTTATTAATAAAATATCATTAAAATCATTAATATGATGGTAATGTATACTTCGAAGAAAAAAGCTCTTAAATTACATATATTAAATAACCAGTCCTTCATGAAGTCAATTTTTAATATTTTAATTTTATACAAAAATGAGTGATTGAATTTCCCATGCAATTTTCGAAAAAAATTTCAATAGTTTTTTATTAATTAAAAAAATCCATCGCTCTTAAAAAATACGATAAAGATTAAATAATACTATGAAAAATAATCGTGCTAAATTTCATTCAAGTTGATTTAACAGTTTTCGAAATATTATTGGGACTGATTTAGAAAACAGTTTTAAGAAAACAATTAGTTTAAGATACATGTAAACTTGGCGAGGTTCTTTGAAATTTTCTGATAAAATTTTCAGAAAATATTCTTAAAGGATAATACATACTATTAAATAAAAATATTTTTGGAAAATAAATTTTTTTGAATTTTCTAGCTGCATAGAATCTCTTAAGACATATTCATGTCAATTTTTATATACTTTGGTACACATATATACTTTTAAAAACTACAAAAACCTCTTCAGGAAGGTAAACAAAAAAAACTCTTTTTTACGATAATCGAAAGTTCGTTTATCTCGCCTGCGCTTGATCGATCGCATATATATAAAAAAGATCATGTATCATCGTTAAAAAGTGACGTACCTGCTGGATAGGTGAACTTTTATTTTTATTTTCTACCGTGGATGTTAAATTTTTCTCGACAGCCATTGCCATTATGCCTGTTCTTCGGTTGCCAATGGCTCGTTACTCTTCTGCACTTTCTATACGATATAGAAATTTGCAAATTATACCTCATTTATCTATCTCTTTCTTTACGATGAGGACGTAGACAAAGGAGACAAAGAGACACGATAGCTCGACTATCGTGTACTTTAACAGCTAATTGCAATCTCATTATCTCTACTAATTATCGTCGTATCTCTTTTCTTGTAAAATATCTTGCATATACATATATATGTACATATATATACATATATATATGTATATATATTACGTCTATATATTTATATATATATTTATATAATATATATAATATATATAATATATATAATATATATAATATACATAATATATAATATAAATGTATATATATATATATATATACATGTATATATTACGTCTATATATATATATATATATATATATATATATATATATATACGTGTATATATTACGTCTATATATATATATATATATATATACACGTAAATACCTAGTAAATCCACGATGGCCCAGCTTGTCTCTCTTTCGCTCTTTCTCGATTTTTATTACATAGTAGCATCACGTAATGGTACCTGGCGTTATTACGAATTTAAGGAGTCAGAAATCGGATAGAGTGATCAGTAAAGAATCTGAAATTTGTACGTCAATACGTAAAATTATTCCTTATAACCTTTCAATTCATTGATCGCGAAAAAAATTGCATGATCTATTCGTTTGAATTATTCATTCGTAGATGCAAAATGTGCGCATGGAAAACATATGCATATTTAATGGAGATACAATTTTAGCATCAGAAATTTTGATTTTATGATCGCGTTAATGTAAAACAGATCAGAGGAAGTTATGATCGTTGTTACGTTTTTTTTTTTCGAGTCGAAAAAAAACAAAAAAAAGAAAAGAAAAATTCTTTGTTGTTCTTAACACAGACTTACCGTCGGTGGTTGCACGCGTGCCGAACTCACACTCGACATACTCGAAGTAGTTCGTTGCACACTTATGTCCCCTTTCGATTTAGAAATTTAGTAATGACGTTACAATGGCGCAGAGTGATTTAATTCGACACGTCGCTCGTGGAACATGAAAATTAGAGAAAAGACAGACGTCGTCGCTATAGGCAACCGTTGTGTAAACTCCATCGAACGTGATTGCCGATCGAGTTTTACCCTGAAAATGCATCCTTTTTCGATTTTATCGTGGTAATGAAACTTGATGTAAATTTTATTCGAGGAGATGATTGCAGACTCCTAAATAATTATCTATATAGATTTTGTATATATATATATATGAAATGCTTTCAAATATATATACATACATTATATAAAATGTTTAACAAAAAAGATATATAGCGAGAAATATTTATACATATATATAATATATATATATATATATAATATATATATATATATAATATATATATAATATAATATATATATAACATAAATATATATAAGCATATATATATATATATATATATATATATTCGAAACAAAATTAAATATATATATATAAATCATCTGCCCCCTCGTGATTATAACTTGGTGTAGAGTTGGCAAATGATCAGAGCCGATGATCGGCATATCTTCGGTTTAAAAATAAAATCCGTGGAGTCCTCTGGACAAAGGCATATATTACCGTCGACGGAGAAGCGTTTACGAATTGTAAAAAATGTTCTAGCACAGTCTGGTTAGGCTGACGCGGCTGGTTCATGTACCGTTCTGGGGGAGAAATTCCCTTCGGGACGTCGGTGCCGTCGAGTTTTCGTTGCCGTCAGTTGCGCACGCGTGCGTGTATCAGCGAGAACGTTTGTGAGTCGTGTTAGATTTAGTGCACTCGGTCAGAGTCAAAGAGATCGGAGCGTTTCGTGTTTTCGCTCGTGCTTTTGTTGTGTCTTTTCTCGTGTTTAAAAACAAAGAGATAAGAAGAAAGAGCGAGAGAGAAAGAAAGAGAGGACGATACTTGAATTTTGTAAAAAAGGAAAAACAAAGTTTTTGAAATTTAAAAAAAGAAAAATTAACGACTCATTGAAGATCGAATTTTGACGTTACGTGCTTACTAGCTTGATTGCCGGTGTTGCACGAGACATTATTTTTTCTTCTTTTCTATCATGGTGAGTAACATTTACATATATTACACTGTTTTCTGCCGGAGACCAGACGAGGACATGTCTTTGCTTTTGTTAATGTGATTCCGGTTATTATTAGGCAGGTATTCGAACTGTGCCCGGCATTTCTAGCCCCCGGAAATGTATTCGCTCCTTCGTGTCTTCTTCTTCTTCGTTATTTTCTTCTTCTTCTTCGTTATTATCTTCTTCTTCTTCTTCGTTATTTTCTTCTTCTTCTTCTTCGTTATTTTCTTCTTCTTCATTGTCGTCTTCGAGGAATGTGTATTTTATTCGCATAAAAATTGAATGTCAGTTGATATTAAAATTGATTAGTTTTCTCTTCGAGGAAATTAGATGAAATACTAATCTGTTTGTTTATTTATACGTACATATTTACAATTCATTTATCTAATTTTATTTTAAATAAATTAAACAGAATTTTTTATTATGTAACTTTAGTATGTAATACTTTTTATATAATTTTTTTTTATCAATCCAAATCTAACTTTTTATTCGAATTTCTGGTTTTTATCTAAGTTAAATATTTATTTATTTATTTACGGGATTGTTTAAGAATTATAATTTCTAAAATATTTCCACTCAATTTCATTTTTATATTTAATAAGCATCTTTTATGAAGAAAAAAAATATATATGTAGTATTTTTTATGAAGAACAAATCTTTTAACGATATTCCGCTCATCACGATCGAAGTCCTTAAACTTCATGATTTCGCATATAATTCTAATAAGGTTTCGCTATCTAAGGTCATGATCACGACCGTCATCAGAAAAGCATATTGACAATGAACTTAGAAACAAGTGGCCGATCTAATAGTATTCTAATCTAATAGTATTCTTCATTTCTGATAGTAATTAATTAGACAAGAGTAATTATAAATTGTTATTAAACATACTCTTGGCTCGATTTATTCAAAATTAATATTTAATTTAAAAAACATTTATACAAGAGTTAAAGAGTTAAAAAAAAAGATATAGGATAAAATATCATATAATTTATCAGAATTCCTTGGATATTAAAAAATTCAGTTTTATTCGTTCATTTCTATTGTAGGACATTAAAATTTTATGGGGATATTTCCTTAGAAAAATATCGCAGAGAAGAATAATAATGGACGTTTATATCAAACATAAGAAAAAGTATATATATATATATATATATATATATATATATATATATATATCTATATGTATGTATGTATGTATATATGTCATATATATATATGTATATATGTCATACATATATTTATGTATATATATACATATACATACACATAAAATTTATGTATATATATACATATATATATATATATATATATATATAATATATCACATATGTACGTACTTATCACATTTATTACGTAGGAATCTTTCATGGCCTCTTTGGGAGGGACATAAAATTTGCATAGAGCTCAATCGGCAAATCTAGATATTCTTGAAAATATATATGAATCTGATGATTGTTGGTTAAAAGTTGCGAATTTTAGTCAAACGACGTTTGATGTAGTCAAGGTACTGCCCTCACTAAATGGATTTCCAAGCGTCGGGTTTGGAAACCGTAGAAAACTAATCGATTGCTTCGAGTCCCGTCTTTTAACTTGCTTGATATATGCACGTTTATTTCGTAAAGTCGATGAACGAGCACGATCAACCCTCTGACATGTCGCATGCAGATTTATCTCTTCTACAAATTGCTCCTGCTCGAGGATTTATTTTCGTTCGGGAAACGTTTTAACGAACGGTACTATACAAACTTTTCATTATGTAGGTATTATATCTATATACCTATATATATCTATATATATATCTCTATATATTTATATATCTATATATATATACCTATATATATAGCTATTCATACATATGCGTATATATTTTACGTATTATGTACAGATGATATATTAAATCAGAAAGCTTTAACTAACAACAGATTTTTGAAACGTCCGATAAAGTAATTTAAAGTTTTTCAATTCTCACTTTCTTTACGAACGCAACTTTCAATGTCGGTAAATCTTTGCCTGACGAGTTTATCAGACTGACTAAATCGAAAACAAGATCAGCACGTTTGCGGCTTCGACACGCGCCATTTATATCGTTATTATAATATGTAAAAAAATATAACTCTCGGCGGTACAATTTGAGACGATAAAAAACTCTGTCGACGATAATTACTTAACGGATCTTTATCGAACCTAAATCTGCATATCTATTGCGATCATCTTTAATGAGTCTTGCAAAGAGGTTATCGATCCTTTTGGCTGGTAACAAGAAACGAAAAGGAACTTTGAGAAAAGAATATTGTTAACATGAATAACGTAACACACACACACGCGCGCGCGCGCGCGCACATACATACACACACATATGTTACGTTATTCATGTTAACATGGATATAATTGAAAATATATTTTATATCGATCAATCTATCATGGGAATCAGCCGGTTAAACGATTCGTTGTATAGATACGATACGTATGTATATGCATACGTTTAGTTGCCGCTAGTTCGAGTGGAATATAATTCTATTTACTCTTGTTTACTCGTTGTTCCATCGACTGTTTGAATGAACGTTATACAAAGTGATGAGAAAAAAGAAAAAGCACAAAAGTGATTATATTTCCAACGATGAAGAACAAACGTTAATTAACCCAAATTCAGGAATAGGAAATGTTCGGACAATAAATTGTCATCGATTTACATATATGCATACATATAAATATATGTATGTATATGTGTATATATATATATTTCTCCCAGATTGCGATTACGCTTCTGTTGTAATTATTCTCTCGGGGATATGCTTTTAATCGAGTTGAATTCCCATGATGAGTCATTTTAATTTGATGAAAAATCGAATACAACGCTTGGATCGATAGTCAAAGAGCATATTCCAATAAATAAATTAACATATTATATCACTAGTAAGGTCGTGAAGATTAAATGATATTGAGATAATTAGAATGAAATCAATTTTGTTGGATAAAAGCAAGACGAAAATTTTCGAATGATCGATTTGAAAAGCACAATTAATATATTCAATTTAATATAAGTTATATATTTTGCGATCTGAAATAATTTAACATTTAGATTTGAATTATTTAAAAATTATTTTTCTATAACGAAAAGCAGAAAACAAGTAAATATACTTATTTTTTAGAAAAATAATTCTTTTATGTAATAATAAAATTTTTTAAATAATATACGAAGAGAAAAACATGTTTTTTAATATCTCAAATGATTTAGACTATATTAATAATTACCAGCTTGACAAACGTCTTCTTAATCACTGTTGAGCAAAACTTTTATTCATTAAAATAATTACGGATTATTTACTTATGAAATGACGTAACTATTTAAATTTTGTATTACAATTGAAACAGTAATTTAATTTGTAATAACAATACTGTGAATATTTTTTGAAAAATACATTTCTTATTTACTTTGATATGCGTCTGCACATAAGTAATAGTTGGCTTTTAATAATTATCTCAAACATTTTATCTAATAATTTATATGATTTCAGTGTATTATATGAAATAAAAAGTTTTTTATCACTATGGGTATTGGTCGAGTATATTTAAATCTCGTTATTGTTGACAAATGAAATTTAATATTTCCATATTACATATATTAATCAATAATAATTTAAATTTTATTAAATCGCATAGCACTAACCAATTAATAAAGAAAGTAAAAAAAATATGAAGAAATTTATAAACATAAACGTAGGGCATATTGTTTAATTTTCAATGTGTAAATTCACATTACTAATCGTAATAAAATATAAATTGATCATTGAATGATTTAGAAATGATCAATTTATTATTACAGATTACAAAAAAAATTATGATTACTGATTTATATAAACAATGATTAATTGATTAATGATTACAATTACTACAATAATATTTAATAATCGATTACAAAAATGATTGCAAAACAATTAATTACTGTCCAAATCTGTTCTTGATAAACGAAATAAATTCTTTTTCGATCGGTTCATCACCAAAATCGCATTTAATGTAGTTCATTTCTGTCGAATCCATCAAAATAAAATAATATAAAGAAAAAAAAAATAGAGAAATAAAAAATCTCTTTAAAATCTTTCGTTCTCAGGCCATCGATATCTACGCAATAACTTCTATCCATTTTCTATATTATTTTTCATCCGCTTATCCATTTATATCTTTCATATTCTATATATTTCCTCTATTTTGTCATTTTTAATCCTTCGCTTTTGTAATACATGCGAATTCACATCGAACGTAGCAGCAACCAATGTCATTATCGCAAATTTAAATTCGTTCGCTCGGCTTTTATTTTTTCCTTTCTTTCTTTTTCCTTCTTTTTCTTCTTCATCCTTCGAAATACGTTTCCTTCTTCGATAATCGATATCGTACCGATCTGTTATTCACGGATTTTTCTTTTACAAATTATACTAAAACTTTTATCGGAACCGTTATCGTTCAACGTTCGATTGGAAGTTTAAACAAAATCGTCATCTCTCTATGAGATTTTTTTCGGGTCTCAATTTTAACGAATGTGAGATTTATATATGTATATATAAGATTTGTATTCAAAACTATTCAGTGTTGATGAGAATTTTTAGTTAATCGTATTTTATTTCGTCTCTCTCTCTCTCTCTTTCTCTTTTTTTCTCTTTCTCTCTCTCTCTCTCTCTTTCTCTTTTTTTCTCTCTCTCTCTCTTTCTCTTTCTCTCTCTCTCTCTCTCTCTCTCTCTCTCTCTCTCTCTCTCTCTCTCTCTCTCTCATCGATATCACATCGTTATCATTTGCAGGAAATATTACCAGGACGAATTCTTTACTACATTTTACTGCTTTTCGCTATAACGCATAGCAGTTATTCAGTGAGATGTAACAGGGTAATAGATGGTACCACGAGGCCACGTTCCGAAGCCAAGGAAAAATATTCCTTCTTCATGACGCTTTACAATCGATCCGATACCGTATATGCATATATGCCGGATACCAAATACACAGGTAAAATTTGACATCGATACATCGATTCATTCTTTTTTCTTTTTCTTTCTTTTTTCTCTGTCCGACCTTTGTTCGAATATTCTTGAGCGAAATACCGGAAATTAATATCGATTCGATTTTATTTTACAAACGCCCTTCTTTATGTTACCTCATGAAATATCAAATTCTTGTTACTATAAATATGGATATAATGTCGTATAAAGTTGAACCCTTCATAATTCAATTTTATTTTTATCTTTAAAAACATATTACATAGTTAACAAACGTGAAACTTATAATATTGCACTAAATATGATTTATACTCTTCGAATATAAATAAACAATTATTTTTGTATCGACAAAATCAAATAAATATGTACATAACTTCTAAATTATATGACATTATGTAGAAAAAAAGGTTAAAGAAATTTAAAAGTAACGTCTGATTAATTAATAATTAAATATAAAATCAGATAATTTAATAGAAAAAGAAAAAAGTAAATGTTAAATCATTTTAAAAATTTAAATTGTATTTATTTTAATATCTAAAATATCGAACTAATTTTAATTTATATTGAATAATTCATTTTTAAATCTAAAATATTAAACCATTTTAATTTAAATTGTGTATTTATTTGAAATTTTAAAATTTCAAATCAATTTTAAAGAATAATGTCTCACAAAGATTTACAAAAAAGACATTATGAATCCGTAATGTATTAATGCAAAATTGTAAGAAGAGTGAATTGTAATATATCAAATCATTATTCGGGTCTTAAAGATCTTTCATATCGCAATAAGAGAAGCTAGGAGCTTTATAGAGGCGACTGGCTTTCCGACTGCTTAAATCAACCGTCTACTTTCATCCCCTTCTTCATAGATGCAAGAAGATAATATTCATTAAAATATCTCATGATCGATGAGAGCAATACTTGCTACTACGTAAAAGTCCTTTTTCATTCTAAACGGATGTTTAGAGAGAAATAAAATCTCTTTTTATCTCTTTCTCTCTCGGATCATTCAAAAAGCTTGCCAGTCAATTTAAGATAAGTTAAAATTAACATCTACTTACAGATTAATTAAAATACGCTTCTGACGTTTTATGTTAATTAAACTAAAGAAAAAAAAGGAAGAAAAAAGAAAAATAGCATCGCAACGCGTGAGAAACTCGACGCGCCGACGAAGGTTTCATTTAACTGCGTTTTTACGATTAATTCCTATAATTCAAGGTTATGGGAATGATCGTGAGGGAACGTGGTCAAGGGTCATGAGTCATTGTTGCTTTCTGATGCAATGCGTTGTTGTTTCACTCGATTTTGTTAAAAAAAGAAAAAAAAAAGCAAAATAAATAAATAAAAGAAAGAAAAATAAAAATAAAAGAAAGCAAAATAAAATGATCTTTTGTACGTTATAATTGTCATTAAAAAATAATAAATATAATATTTCAATTTAGTTACGATAAAGTCCGAGAGTCCAGGACCGACACCTCGAAAATTCACGAGATTTTTAATATCCGCCGATATGAAAAACGATAGTGAGATTATGAATATCGGTGTTTTCGATATCATGGACGAATCAATCAGCAAATTTGCCGATCAATGTGCCAATGCTGTCGTCGAAATATCAGAAGTTCCAAAGGAGCAAGTTTCCGTCGCGTGGACCAGCCCTTCCGAAGGTAGCGGTTGCATACTTATCAGGTGAAGGGACACTAAGTTAACAATTTGTGAGAAAAAGAGATGATCTAGAAATGAAATACAAGCGTTTTCGTGAATAATTATTCAAATGAAAATTCGAATGAAAAAAAATAACAAATTAATTGATATTAATTAGAATAATTATTCGCTCAAAGTTTTATGCTATGCTGCTTCATTAAATTAATATATAATCATGAATTTATATTTCTTGGTATTATTTGATTGAATATATTCATTGCATGAATATTTTTGTTTTCCCTACTTTTGTACTCTTTTTCTTTTATTAAAATAGTACGTTTATCATTTTATCCTACAATATTATCCTAATGTAAATAATATAACTATACTTATAATACGTATGTAAGTACTTATTGTCATTTTATAATATTTATTATATGTATTTTATATATGTACAGTTATATAATAGCTATTATAAGTATATAATCCTACTGTATATACATATGTACTTATTATAATTATATATTACTTATTATATGTGTGTATTATATATATATACTTATATATATAATATATATGTATATATACTTATAGTACGTATTACATGCATATGTATACTTATAGTACTTAAATTAATAAACATGTATATACAATATCATAAAAAAGTAGCTAAAAAAGTAAAATAAATATCTTCCTAAATCGTAACATAATACTAACACAATAACACAGACTTTTCTTCTTTTACTTTTCTTCGAGCACAGAGCAACTATTCTGGAAACACCGGACACATGGTACATGGACGATTCGAATTTGGTTTTGAACATATGTCAAGATATAAAGGCAGAAGCTGACAATGAGGGTCTAGTACTGGACAAATGTTGTGCTTGTAATGAGGCCAAGTACGAAGTTACTTTCGAAGGGCTCTGGTCTAGAAATACACATCCAAAGGCATGTAGATCGAACATTAAGAAAGAAATCTATATCTGACTAGCGAGTATGTTTAATCAAAACAAATTTCCCATCTGGCATCTGCCTCGTTTTTTTTATATCTTTATTTTTTATAATTTCCTACTCACAAACTTCTTTTTCTCTTTATCTTACTTGCAAAATACAAGCCATGTTATTATATTCTTCTGGTTTTCGTAAAACTCTCGAAACGATCATCGGATGATCTAAGAAAAGAGACTTCGCTTATTCGAATTTACGAGTAAAAGATAAGATATCTATTCGTTCTCTTTAGGATTTTCCAAGCAAAGGCTGGCTCATCCGATTTTCCGACGTAATCGGTGCATCACACACGGTCGACTATCGATTCTGGGTATACGACGGAATAGCCAGTATCGGTTTAAAACAAGTAGCTGAGCTTGGATCAACGAGAAGATTGGAATCCGAATTAAAGAATCAAGTACGATGAGTTAATGTAAATTTTTATTTAATTTGTCTATTTCATTTTTGTTATTTTATTTTCTTTTTTTTTTTTTTTATAGAGTGAACATATCAGGACTATAATAAAAGCTCGAGGTATCAGTTATCCTAATGTGACGGGTCGAACTTTTGCGGTATTTCGTGTAGATCGCAAACATCATTTGATGTCTCTGGTGTCCATGATTGGTACAATCAACTTTCAAACGAAAATTGTCTCTTTATTTATTAGATACCATCGTAATACTCTTGTTTAAACGTTTCTATAGATCCATCTCCCGATTGGATAGTTGGTGTATCTGGATTGGAATTGTGTTTGGAAAATTGTTCTTGGATCGAGTATAAGGAATTGAATTTGTATCCGTACGACGCAGGCACCGATGATGGGATAACATATCTGGTGAGAAAAAGAGAGAGAGAGAGAGAGAGAGAGAGAGAGAGAGAGAGAGAGAGAGAAAGAAAGAAACTTACATGTTATGATCAGAATAAAAATAATCATTATAGGAAAGAAAACACGAAGGACATAATTTTTATTAAAAGATAGACTATTTAATTTTGAACTTTCATGAAATGTGAAATTCTAATATAAGATCAACGATATAAGTTTAATGATACAACTGAGATTCAAAGTTATAAATTTTGAAATTGATTTAGTAGAAAGATAAACAATTTTAAAAATAGCCTATTTAAATTAAAACTGAACTGATAAGAAATCAGAGTAGAGAATTACTATATATAAATGCACATACATACATACATACATACATACATACATGCATCTGCTACTGCACGATCGATGAGATGGTTGCTTCACAGTCTCCAAACTCACCGACGGAGCCGCAGGAACGGATTCGACGTATTACATCGAACTATCCAAATGATTCGAGGTCTCCGTTTTACGATCCATCTGGTCTAGACATGAAACCACTCGCTAAGCTTTACCTGAATCGCCAGAGACTGTACGAGAAAACTTGCAATAATCTTTCGACAAAGTTCATCGACTCAGGTGTAATGAACAAACCTCCAAAAAGTCATGACTATAGCAAGTATTGCTTTTTTTCTTTAGTAGATTTTATGTTCTTTTCTGAGCATCAGGAGCACCTTATTTTCATTGATATGTATGAACTGAATAAACTTGATAAATGAACTTAATAAAATAATTCACATCTTTGAGATAAAAGTTAAATAAGGGAAAATACTGTGCTCTATGTAGCTCGTTTAATAGTTTTGGAAAATCCTTAAGCATTCAAAATAATAATGGATTTTAATTAAACAAGGTAAACTATAAGCTTTAATCTGATAATCCTCATCGAATCTTTTTATCCTATAGAAAAACCTTTAAAATCCTCTTCTTCTTCTTTTTTTTTTTGTTTAAAATCATACAGATACTTAATGAATAAAATGTTATTTTATCCATTTTTATAAAATATTATTTTATAAAATATTATTTTATTCATTTGTCCTCCAAATTCATTTGTCTGTAGTGACTATATGCTTTTTACGGCTTTAAAATAGAGAATTGAATGTTCGTGTAAATCGTACTAATAGCGTAAACTAATTAGTTACGAAAATCTCATTAATTCGCAGAGTCCTGCAGGGTAACTTCTTGGAGTGATTGGAGTGAATGTGGAGTGACATGTGGGAAGGGTAATAAACTGAGACAACGACGTTATCACAATGAGACTGCTGCTATCATTAATAAATGTAACATATCGCTAACGGATAGGACAACCTGTTATGGTGAACATTTACAATGGTAAAAGAACATTAAAATTGATTTTCTACGAAAAGAAATAATAATAATAATAAAATAAAGAAAATAACAAAAAAAATAAAAAATAAAGAAAAACCAACATTTTTTTTAAGAATATGTCAAAGAAAAATTGTTATGAAATTTCTGAAATTGTTCATAGCGGAAATTCCGGACAGAATTCTGGCATCTTAGATACCGAAATGTGTGTCCTAACGAACTGGAGCGAATGGAGTTCTTGTTCAGCGACTTGTGGCCAAGCAGTAAAGTCACGTTCACGTAATTTCAAACACAAACAATATCGAAAGCAATGCAGAAATATATCAAATGGTCCGGAATTGGAACAGACCACCGAATGTGATACCGAACCTTGTTCAGGTGAAGATGGAGATGAGGTAAGAAATCGATTGATTGAAGAAAACGACGAGAACACGAAGAAGGACGAGGAAATCAATTTGTCTTATGAGGGTGATGACTCGGAAGTAGAGGTAATCGAGAAATGGTCGCAGGTACGAAAGTTTCAAGTTTCGATCATTGAAAAGAAACCATAGAAAGAAAATAAAAAATATTTTTAGAGTATCATGACGTTCAATAACGTTACGATCATTTACTACGCATCTTCCTTTTACTAACAAGATATCATTAATAATAATTCTTCATATAATTATCTGATTATACCTGCACCATTTGTCGCAAATCCTTGCATTTGCATTATTTTGTATGTTATTTCTTTATCTGTCAACTAATTATAATCAATTCTTATCATATTTTCATCATAACTATGCTCTTCGTATTACACCAATTTGTCCTTCGAGGAATCTTTTCTTATGGCATGTCCAGAAACGGATAAAAAAATCATTGATTAGTTAAAATAAATGATCTCCTTTGTGAAAATATATTATAAGACGTGCTTTCATGTTTTAAGGATTGATTTCAGGATTTAAATCTTTATAAAAATATTAATAAAATGTTCGTGGATTAAAAAATTCCATTTGCAGAAGTGTCCATCTGATCGTTATACGGAATGGTCCATGTGGTCTCCCTGCAGTTCCAGTTGTGGACCAGGTGTAAAGCTAAGATCAAGACTCGACAAAAAACGTTGGAGTCACGCGGAAGAACAAGATGATCTAAGCATGGGAGAATGTAGACAAGAAGAAATTTCCTGTGTAGCTGAGATAGAATCTTGTGATTTTTCTAATGAAGAAGCAGCGAGTAAATATATGCTTGTCGATTTAAAGTAACTCTGAATGTATTAATTTAACTCATTTTGTGTAAAAAAAAGAAAAAATATTACATATTTCTTTTCATATTTATTATTAGAAATATGTAGCGAACCAAAAATGGAAGGAAAATGTCGTGGGAATGTTTTACGAGTTTACTTTAATAAACACGATCGCCAATGTCATCATTTTAAATACACGGGATGTGAAGGAAATCGAAATAACTTTCCAACTAAAGAAGATTGCTATACTGTTTGTGGAAATTATCAAAGTAAGTGATCTCATGTGGCCTGTTAAAATATAAAAAGAATGATATCAATACTTTTCTTATATTCTAACGTGAGAAAAAAATATCTTTTCTTCTGTGCACGCTAATCGAACGAAACAAGGAGAATTAAAGGCTAATTTGTCGGCTCTTATGAAAAATTTTAAAGTATCCCTCAGCAGTGTGCTCAGTTATCATATACCTATTCAAGAACAACACAGGAGAAAAACAAAACGAGCACAATTTGGTGACACGTCGGGTATATTTAAAAATATATCCAGTCACTTTTGAACATTGCTTTTTGTAATAATTTTATTCTGTCAAAAAATTACATTGTTTATACTCTTATATTCCTATAGATTCCTCCTTCTTTTTTTTTTTTTTAATTACACACCCAATACTTGATATATAATTTTATTATTTCTTGCAATTTTTGGATTTCTTTACTTTAAATTATCAAGTTTAATCTTAATATAGATCAAGAATGAAAAATTTGTTATAAGGAAAGTTATTTTTTTATAAATATAGTTTATTAGAATCTTTTAATTGATTTACAGAATTGTTGCAGTTCAAAGGTCTTCAGGCTGGAAGTCAAGTGACAGAATTGTCAGAAGTGATCAAACAGCAAATAGATTGCAATGTATCAGAATGGGGCACATGGTCCCCTTGCGTGGGTTGTCGTGGTTTAACCATTAGTACGCGAACGATTATTGTAATTATTTATCATTATAAAATAATCTTATAAAATGGAACATGTGTATAATTAATTATACAATTTTCGAAATTATCTTTACAGACGCCAGCTAAATATGGGGGTAAAAGTTGTCCTCGAAAATTGCTTCGGAAAAGAAAATGCCGTAAAATACCTCCGTGTTGTAAGTTTTTTTTTTTCATTTCAAAATGTTCATCTATTTAATGGATATTCAAAATTATTACAACATTTACGAATATAATTTAGAATTTACAATTAATTTAAATATTAATTTATTATTCACAGCAAAACAAGATAACAGAACAGGAACCGAAAGTAAGTACAATGTAAGTGTAATATTAAATAAATTAGTTGATAGCAAATAATATTTCCAATAATCTATTTTTTTCTTTTAACTTTTATTTTTCTAGTTTCAGTAGACTGTAAAATGACACCTTGGTCAGCATGGACACGTTGCAGAGGAACTTGTAGAAATGCATCGCAACAAAGAATAAGGAGTGTTAAAGTTCAACCTCGTGGTCCAAATGGTAGACATTGTTCTACACTTGTAGAATTTAGAAACTGTACTACATTAGAATGTCCGTAATAAATATTTTCACTCAGTTATTTGTGGAACTATCAAAAAAGTTGATTTTTAGCTGATATCTATTGCATCTTATTTAATTTAAACCGTGGCATTATTATATAGTTAAAGATATTGAATGAACAAGTCCTTAAAAACAAAAACTATAACAAATATACAGTACCAGGAAATACTTTATAGCACAACAATATAATATATTTACCATAAAACAAATCATTTTGTAAATTTGAATATAATATTTTTATTTAAAGTATGTTATAATATCTTTTTATATTATCACTTTATTTACATACTTTATTCTTGTACTATAAATAGATTCATACTTATATTATATTTACAATTACTATATCGATAAATAATTCTATTTATTATATAAATTTAAAGTTCATTAATCATTTTTTTTCTATATTTACATTTACATCATTTGGATTCTCATTGCTATCCTCATTTAAAATAGGTATAATTGTAAGTGTTGTACACAATGATTTTACAGTTTTTTGTATTGTTCCATACTGTTTTATATTAAGTTCTGCATATTTCAATACTTTATCCTATAAATTAAAATAAAATAAGTTCATAAACTGACAAACATATCGATCTATATGAAATAAGCTGTAACATACATGTGTCTCTGAATTATGGTTAACGATAAGTTTGATCTTATAATTTTTACTTAACAATTTATTGATGTTTTTTAATTTTATATTCAGATCATGTACAGTAATTCTACTAGATATCTGTATTTGCTTCATTGTTTTAATTTTATCATTTTCTTTATCATTATTTTTTGTTTTTAAGTATCTTTCACCTGGTTGTATGAGTTTGTATGTATCTCTAGATGAATTTTTTTGTTCATCTTCTACTTTTGTCAATTCTAAATTTTTATCCTTCGCAAGTTTTTTGGCATCCTTTAAATATGTAACCGTCATAGAATTGTTTGGTAATAAAAGTGTTATTTTAGATTCACTAACTGTATTCACTTGTTCTTTTGATACATTGTCTTTCTTTTCTTTTTCGTTAGAAACGTGAACACTATAACATAAAATATTTTGGTTTCTTTTTAACTTTTGCTGCTTATAAGTATTATTTAATAAATTTGATAAATGACAATCGAATTGTAGCAAAGATTTCACTTTTAATACTTTTAACCAGGATATTAAAGCCATTTAGATTTTATTAATTGTTATTATCACTTATATATTAACCTAAAAAAGTAAAAAATAAATAATTTGTGATTTCTACAATTTGACGATAAACACATCAAAATTTCACCAGAATATATTAAAAAAAATCTTCATTTATTCCTCAAATCGAATTGGCTTATATTTGACCAATCACTTATCAGATATTACTAGGAACATTTATCTATTGGTAAACGTTATGTTCGAATAACGACTACCAATTTTTGCTTGTAATCTGTCGGAGCTATAACCTAAAACGTGATTAGCGTCAACTAATTATTGCATTATTATTGTATGTTAAAGTTTTTATATAATCAAAATAAGTTATTTCAATAAATATATAAAAAATGCCGGACCATTTAGGAGAAGATATGCGTAAAGTAAAAACGGAGGATGAAAAAGAAGAGAAGGAAATTAAGTGTAAGTTGAAGTGAAATTGTTTCTTTTTTGAAGTTGTTATTTTTCTTCTGTATTTTTATATGTTCTATTCTTTGATTTCAGCTCTTGATGAAGCTGATATCGCGTTACTAAAAACATATGTAAGTTATAATATAGAGAAAATAACCTGTTTTATTATATTATTTGTCACTACAGAAACAATGATCCTTAGATTTTTTCTTCCTTAGCTCTTCGTTATTTTATTTATGATATTCATTTATCAAAACTTCTTTGTGTTTAATACTTCTGTAATAGAATCGATATAACAATTATGTGTTTTATATAGGGTCAAGGTCAATATACAAAGAGTATAAAGGCAGTTGAAGAAGATATACAAACTATAATCAAGCGTGTAAATGAATTAACAGGAATTAAAGAATCAGACACAGGTTTAGCACCTCCAGCTCTTTGGGATTTAGCAGCAGACAAACAGACTCTTCAAAATGAGCAACCTTTACAAGTTGCTCGTTGTACCAAAATTATTAATGCTGACTCTGATGATCCAAAGTATATTATAAATGTGAAGCAATTTGCTAAGTTTGTAGTCGACTTGGCAGATACAGTAGCACCAACGGATATAGAAGAAGGCATGAGAGTTGGAGTAGATCGTAATAAGTATCAAATTCATATCCCATTACCACCTAAGATAGATCCAACTGTTACCATGATGCAAGTAGAGGAAAAACCAGATGTAACATATAGCGATGTAGGTGGTTGTAAAGAACAAATAGAGAAGTTGAGAGAAGTGGTAGAAACACCCTTACTTCATGTTAGTATATAAATTTAATTAACAGTATATACTTTGCTAAAGTATTGTCACATTTACATTGTTCATTTATTTACAGCCAGAAAAATTTGTCAACTTAGGTATTGAACCTCCTAAAGGTGTATTACTGTTTGGACCACCTGGAACTGGTAAAACATTATGTGCAAGAGCAGTGGCCAATAGAACAGATGCCTGTTTTATACGTGTTATTGGTTCAGAATTAGTTCAAAAATATGTTGGAGAAGTATGTAATTATTTAGAAGATATAGTACAATAGAATGTAATTAATTATGTTAGTAATATGATTATTTATACTCTGGAATTCAGGGTGCAAGAATGGTAAGAGAATTGTTTGAAATGGCACGTAGTAAAAAAGCTTGTTTAATATTTTTTGATGAAATTGATGCCATTGGTGGTGCTCGTTTTGATGATGGAGCGGGTGGTGATAATGAAGTACAAAGAACGATGTTAGAATTGATTAATCAGTTAGATGGGTAAGATTTTATCTTAAGTATATCGTATAGGAAAGTAACGATTTTCATAATATATAATTACGATAATATATTCATTCTAGCTTTGATCCTCGAGGTAATATCAAAGTTTTAATGGCAACTAATCGACCAGATACGTTAGATCCAGCATTAATGCGGCCAGGACGTTTGGATAGGAAAGTTGAGTTTGGTTTACCGGACCTTGAGGGTCGAACTCATATTTTTAAAATTCATGCGCGTTCAATGAGCGTTGAAAGGGATATTAGATTTGAGTTACTTGCTCGTTTATGTCCTAATAGCACAGGAGCTGAAATACGGTCAGTATGTACGGAAGCTGGAATGTTTGCAATTCGTGCACGTCGCAAAGTAGCAACAGAAAAAGATTTTCTCGAAGCTGTGAACAAAGTTATTAAGTCCTATGCTAAATTCTCTGCTACTCCTAAATATATGACTTATAATTAACTACATTTATTATAATGAAATACATAGGAATTTCTTGATAAAAGTACTGGATAATAAAATAATATAATATTGAAAAAGATATGATTAATAATCTTGAATGATACAATAATCTTGAAAAATAACAATAAATGCTGTAAAAACTCAATCTTTCTATAAAAATAAAAATATTATAAAATAGGTTTTTTACAATCTTAATTAATATTCTCAAAAATGAGTACATAGAATTCATTGCTGTTTGTACTTTGTAAAATTGAGCTTAATAGGACCATCCGGTTTATTAATTAACAAAGACTTACAACCAAGATTATCACCACACCAAGTAAATTCCAACTCTCGACACATCTGAATAAAAAAATATGTTTTCTTAATTGAGTATAAAATATAAAATAAAAATTTTAAATTTAATTTAATAAATCGTTGATAACATACTCGTATTAATATGATTAGCATGCTTTGTTCGGCAAAACGTCGTGCAATGCAAGATCGTGGTCCATGACCAAAGGGTAATACTAAATATGGATTAACAGATTTTACAATATTAAAATCTTTACTTTCGGCGTCTATATTTTTCCGTAACCATCTTTCTGGTATGAATGAATGTGGGTCATTGAAATACTCAGGGCGTCGGCACGTGACTTGATTCTGCGTTACAACTACAGTCTAAACATACAAACATTATGAACATAATTATAAATAATACATAGAAATTTGATAATTAAATACTTACACCTTTAGGGACATGGTAACCACTAAGAACAATATCAGTTTGCAAAATACGTCCTATTCCAATTGATACTGGATTCAATCTAAATGTTTCTTTTAGTACAGCCTTCGCATAATAAGCTTTGTGCAAAATATTTGTTTCTATGGGTTTATTACTATCGGGTAATAACTTTAAACATTCTGATCTTAATTTTTCTTGGCACTTAGGATTCTTTCCAAGGTGATACAAAACAAAAGCCATAGTATAAGTCGTCTAAATAAATGGTAGAAATGTTTTCATAATTAAAAATTATTATTTTATGATAACGTAATTTTTCATTTGTTAGTATTTATATAAAGATACATACAGTATCGACACCCGCGAGCAACATATCGCAAGCCATACCAATTATATCTTTTTTATCTAAAGCAGGATTACTTAAGTATGCATCAAGAAAGGAGTTTTTCTGAGAAATTTTTTTGTTTTGTATTTTCTGAGTTACCATTTCTATTGCAATTCTATAAAAAAAAAAAGGAATAAAATAGCATTTTAAAAAATGTTAAGAAGTTATATAACATACTTTTCCATATAGTTTTGTGCTTTGCACATTTTTTTATAGAGAAACGTATCAAAAAATCGCCACAGCCTAAGCCCATTGTCTAGTTTTAAAATAGCACTATTAGTTGTAAATGCTGCATCAATGAGTCTCGAACTTTTGGAATCTTTCTGTCTTTCTTCCTTCGAGAAACTATTCATCCTTACATCAAAGGCCGTGAAACATGTTACTAGAATTATTTTTCATATTACAGAAAATACAAAAATGTTCAAAGATAGATATTATAAAAATAAAAAGTGTATAGAATAGTTACATTCAAGAAAGAGACGCGAAAGTAGTAATATGAAATCATCAAATTTTTCTTCAGTACAAACAAGGACAAATTCTCTAACAACATGATCTGTGTCTTGTAGATAACTAATAACATGATTCATTTTGTTAAGAACCTTTTGAAACTCCTTACGTAATCTCCACCATTCAAGTCCATTTCTAAAATATACATTTGATATTAAATATATTTTTGTAAATATTAATTGCCAATATTTATCTAAGAAACTTCATTTATTACGTTGGTAAAAGACCTCCTGTATTATATATATCACTTCTATCCTTTCTATATTTAAAAAGAGCTAAATGACTTCTGCGTTCAGGATATAGGCCTGTTTCTGCTTTAAAAATTTTTGCAATATCTTCAGGACGAAAAACTAATACAATTTGTACTCCTGGCACTATTTCTTCTCGTACCAATGGTCCATAATGTTTCAACTTTTTAACTCCACTCTCATAGAGACTTGCAAATGAATATTCTCCTAACAAGTAGATATAATGTAGCATAATATTATTGGTTTTATCAGCTATAATATAATTCATTAAATTTACCAATTAAAGGAGTATATTTATATAATGTTCCAATTAAAGGTAAAGATGTTGGTCCTGGAATATCTTGAAAAGAGTGTAAGACTGTTTCATTCATTGTAGAAAAATTTACTGTGTAATTATTCGTAAATATATGCAGACATGATCTTTCTGAGAGCAATGAGATAGCTTGAAATTTTCTTATTCGTGAAAACATATTTGCAAATATTTTGTACCAAGAAATAACAAGTTCCAGGTTATATTATACAAAAAATACTATCCTACAGAATTCAATTTTTTGTAAACATCAAACGTATAACAAGTAATGCTAACGAATTCTCAATAACTATTGCAATCTAAAAATATTACATATGATTATTAAGATATTAGATCATATTATTATATACTTGCGAACAAAGCACATTAATAACGAACGTTTTTTCGCGCCACTGCAAGTTTTAATTTTAAACACGCACGCATAGGTTAACCGGCTTACATGTCACTTTGAAAATCTTTGTCGATCGACTCTTTCGGTTGACTGATGTTTTTCAATGTGATTTATTCTTAATGTTAGCTACCTTGTAAATTTTAATGTGTTTACCAGTCTGTCGTATAAATTGATATTACAGAAAGATAAAGTTACTTTATTCTTTGACATGGTTACATATAAATATTGTAAAAGCGAGCATACGTGTTCTACCAAAGTTATATATTTGCATAACGTTTTACTTTTAAAAAAATATTTGATAAAATCTTTCAGAGAAAAGATTATCTTTAATCGAATTATAATAGTTTATAAAGGATAAACAAAAATGAAATGTAAAATCGAACGGAAATAATACAAAAAAGAAAAAGAATAAAAAAACAGAGAAAGAATATACACAAAAAGAAAGGAAATTATTATTTTGATGTTTCGTACGTAGAAAATAATATATTCGACATTGTAAAGTTCGAAATGTATCTTCGCTCGTGAAAGGCAATGGGAAGAAAGTCAAGGGAAATAATCTACTTGGCTTGAATGTTATAATCGCCTTTTTCTCTTTCGCCATGGTAAAGTGAACATAACACTCGGAGAAAATAACGGATAGAGAATATCGATACGAATAGTAAACATGATCATTCGAATAAAGTTAGACGATCAATTCAATTCACCTATTCGATTTACAAAGTGGTCCCTACCTATTTTAAATTGACGATCATCCATTGTTGTTTATACGACAATTCCAATAAAGGAATATCCGAAGGTGTAAGTTACGCCTATTTTATCGTATTTAACGAAACAAACCGTGGTAGGTTGTTAGTGTGTTTTTTTTTACCATCGATATTCCATCAACATCGTAGAGTTTTATGTGCAAGAGTTTATCGTCGTAATAATTTTATTTTTTAATAAGATTTTGGCGCGAAAATTGAAACCATCGCTCATCCTTTCGGTATGCGGAAGAAATCGAAGAAATCGCTGACGTTATTCCTGGTAAGTTTAACGATTCTCGCTAAGTCTATTGAAAGCTATGAAAAGAATCGTGAAAAGAAAAAAATAATAATTACAAAAAAAAAAAAAAACTTCGTGGGATTGGATGATCGATGTAAAGAATCGAATAATAAGGAGACGCGCGAGTCTGCATGTGAATAAAAGGTTATTAAAAATGTGACACGTGATCATCTGTGGATCTCGAGGATGCTTGCGAGATAATATAAAAAAAAAAAACATTAGAAAGTAACGGATTTATTATGTTGTTAATAATATAAAAGAGATAGCCTTAGCTCGTATTTATTGGTTCCTTTTTATTTATGAAAAGCTTCAAATCAAATCGAATTTGTCGGTTCTGCCGAAAAAAGATATCGATCCAAATTTCTCTCATAGTTATATAGCTTGTAAAAGTGAAAGCGTTCTGTTGTGAACGCTTCTAACGAAAGAGAAAATACAGGTTGCTATTGTTGTTGTATCTGCGTGTCTTTATACGCATATGCACATATAAATGTGTCTATATATTGGTACATCAAATATGTTCAACGAGTCGGAAGAAGCCGCCTTGCGCTACTTTATTGTTTTTGTCCTGCGGCTGATCTAAGAACCATCTCTGCTACTTCCGGTGACACAGCTAGTCGACCTTTCTTCGAGGAGCTTAGAGATTGGGCGTTCTTAAGAATCGGGCACGTTCCCACGCACCTTACGTTTCTTTTTCTCTCTTTTTCTCTTTCTTTTCATATTAAAGTTACATTCACACAAAATTTACCTATGAAACGTCCGCCATGTTTGACCCATCATTCTCAATTTTGAAGTTAATGTCATAAACAAATTGTATGTGTGTGTGTGTGTGTGTGTGTGTGTGTGTGTGTGTGAGGGAGAGAGAGGGAGAGAGAAAGAAAGAGGTCTAATAAACATTTTTAATATGTTGTATCATAAAAATTATGACAACTTTTTCATAAGATATCAGTCTCTCACAATTGGCTCATTTTCTATATTCTGTCGCAGGTCATTAATGTCGGATATTTATACAATACATGGTTTTATGAAAATTATGACAAATTTTTTTTTTAAATATCTGTCATTTGAAATTTTTCTTATGATTAATCCATTTTCGACACTTCATCGTAACTCAGAGAGAACTCAACAATGTTTCTGATAATTCTTCTTATGTATATTTATATTAATATGTATGTATGTATTATTATATTAATATTATATACCTATTATTTTTATATGTATAATAAACATTATATGTATATATATATTATAATTTATATATAATAATATATATAAATTATAATATAAAGTATATTATTGTACATATTATATTATATTGTAATTTATATTTATTTTTTATAATTTATATTTTGTAATGTTTTCTCCAGAAAATACCATTGATTAAACGTCATTGTTATGAATAGATCCTTAAATTGTATTCATAACACGAAAGGAAAAGATTTCACGGCTGACATGAGTGTGTACTTTGTTACGGTAGATACACGATATTTTGTAGATTATACGAATCAACGTAACGCCATCACACTCTTTTCTTTTGCAATGATCCGGGAAAGAGGCAAACGAGAATCTCGTTAAAACGAAGGATCATTGAAATAAAACACTTATATAAATATTATTATAATATATGTGAGATAATATGATATAAGAGAAATTCAAAACAACGCATGTATGCTTTCCAAACGATTTCGAACTTCGTGGGCGATTTCCTTCTTTTAATGCAAATTAGTGAAGGGGGAAGTCTTTAAAAATCTTTTATGTAGAGCAAGAGAATAGGATCTAGCAAGTAACTGTAAATAAAGATATTTACGTATTTACATCTACGCAAGAAGTATAAAAATGTATAAAAAAAAAAAAGGAAGAAGAGAAAAAATATTCCGTTTTATAAGCAGCATACCGAAATCCGTGAAATCGAACGATGAGTCAGTAATACAGAATTTTTCAAAATGCGTAGACTTCCTAATATTTATGGATCAAGAATGCATTTCATACAAAAATCGATTCTAAAGATTCACCATTTCATGATCATTAAATATAACGGATAATTATTTCTTGCTGAAGGTAAATAGCTAACTAACTAGCTAGCTAGCTACATCGACTCGAGCTGAAATCGCTATAATTATGCGAGTTTCGAGGCTACGATCAGTGCACGGTCATGATCAGCGATTACGTACCGCGTGATCAAGAATTATGCGTAAAAGAGGTGATCTCCTTGCTAAAGCATGTGGGTAGAAATCGAACGTGATATATCGTTACTTACTAATGTATGTATCGTATATATAACTATGACGCGTAATTACTTTTCTGCATAGAAGAAAACAAAGCTGCACAAAGATCGTAATTTAAATTACGCGCCATGTGAATTTATCTTGAACCCTATTGGTGAATCATTTTAGTGGAAAATTTAAATTTCAAGATTTATATATATATATTTTTTTTTTCATAACAAAAATATACTTAATTAACGTAAGAATACACTAAGACACATAATGATCGTAATTTAAATTAAACTCTACGTGAATTTATCTAGTATCATTTGAATGGATTTTAGCTTGAAAATTTTAATTTTAATTTTCTTTTTTTCATTCAAGAAATATCGTCGATCTTCGAATATTTGCATTATTATTATTTTCTTTCTTTTTTTCTTTTCTATAAATTTTAGGAGGACAGAAACTAGTTTCCTATTTTTCGAACGTATATATTGTAATGTATAACAACGGCAAGTAAATACTTATTCGCGACAGTGGGCGGGTCGAGGTCTTGAACACGCTGGGAAAAACAATCTCAACTACTTGCGGCGTGGGGTGATCTCGAAGGAAGGAACGGAGGTCCTCGGAACTTGGCGTTAGCTCTGAAAATTGCGAGAGTCTTCGTCGTTTCTCAGTCACTGTATCGCGTCCTCTCGGCACGCTTCGACTATACTCTGTTACTTAGTCTCTTTTTCCCTTTTACTTCTACCTGTCTTTGTCTTACTCTTTTTCTCTCTCTCTCCCTCTCTCTCTCTCTCTCTCTCTCTCTTTCTTTCGCGATTTACGAGAAAACCATGTGGATGAGTTTAAATCGATAAAAGAATCTTCTACATCATTTTTCTTTCTATCTCGATCGAATGTCTTCGAATCAATATTATAGTTTTCCCATTTGAGATAACTATGCGAAACGAGAGATGAAAAGATCATCAAGAATCTTTATCACTCGGCCTATCCCTTTTGGAAATTCAACGAAATCATCGATTGACAAGGATCGAGGGTGAAGGACGTTCTAACGAATGTATTGACAAAGACGAAGAAAAAAAGCGAAAGGGGTGGTACACAAACAAACGAACGACTTGTGTCAGAAGGGCTAGCTGACAAGATTAGAAATAAAAGATAGAAAAATATCCAATAATATACGACGATATATCATGCATGTCCGAATGTTGATCGGATCGATCGTCTTAACGGTAGGTCGAACAATATTTATTTTTCTTCATTTTTCAAACCGAGTATCATCTTTGATTTTATTTCACCATTCGGATCATACGACAAATTCTTTCGATTCGTAATCTCGATATGAGTCCTTCTTTTTAATGCATTATCGAAGTACCAAACATCATTTAAATACATATATATATATATATATATATATATATATATATATATATATATAAGTACATTCATACAAACATATGACATGTGCTATGAAATGAAGCATGAGTAATGATAGTCATCATGATGATAATGACATTACGATACCAAGAATCGTATGACTACGTTCGATAAAAGACAAAAAGAAAAGTAAAGAAAAAATCAAATTAGACTCCTCATGTCGTAATAATTGCGTCGATTGAATAGCCAGAGAGAATAGTTTAGAAATGACAAAGTCGCAATAGCGTTGGAATATAAAAGGCACGAGAATAATTAACCCTACGTACGGGGAATGACAATCGAGTTATGCATGTGTGTCCATGGGAAGGCCATTTGTAAGTATTCTACGTGACGATCATCTATACATTTTTGATAAACATACTCAACGTCGCATGATTGTTTAATGATACTACATCTCACGCTATACATACATACATAGTACTTACATGCTATATGTATGTACAAGCACGTATATATCTGTATATGAACAAAAAATGAAAGATTGTCGAAGAGATTTGATTGGTGTGATCGTTCAAACGATCTCATTCTCATATAACCGATTTTTTATAAAAAAAAAAGAAAGAGAGAGAGAGAATTTCAAAAATTTAAGAACAACGAAAAATATCAAAGCGAAAGGAGACTCGTTCTGTTCACGAAGGAGAAATTTACTGGAGATTCACAATATATATAACAAACGAAGAACTTGGTTGGACGAGTTCGTATAATTTAAACTGGACGACATTCCAACGGTTTCGACGAGAACGTGTATCATCAATGCTGTTAAATAATTTCTTTCACTTTTAATTCTCTGTATTTATTTCTTTCTTTCTTTTTGAACTCCTGTTTTTGATGTTCCATTAGTCATTTCCAAGAACCTGTCTATTCTAACTCGAGAATCGTCTTCATGAATCATAAATTATATTTTCATAATGGTGTGCATAATATGTATTATTTAAATGATTCTACATTTCATTATCGTTATAAAATACGACGTAATAACATAAATATAGTGATATCATAGTTAAGTTTTTATCTCTAAGGGATGTAAGGTAATTCTTTCGATCACACGATGACATGTTTGCCCTAACGTGTTAACTTGCCAAGTCCGGCATCTCTTAATATGGAGTGCAAGAGAGAAATACTACGGTCTTGGTCAAGCCCACGCGTTATCCTAAATAGAAGGGAGATTACGTATATGTATCTTATATAGGAATTAAGAATTCGTATTTCAAATGATAGAATCATAGAAAGAAATCTCGAACAAGTAAAAAAGTTTATAAAACGACATTGACTATAGATACTAATGTAACATTAGAAAAATAGAATAAATAATAATCGAGGATAATTATCAGTCGGTTTGCTTCAATCGTTGCGTCCTTGTCACGCCTCTTGCTTCGCCTCTTGGTTTCTGTTCACGGTCGTAGGACCTTAAAAGGATTGCTTTGTGAATCTCATATTGCGTCCTAGTTGCATGCTCCGTTTTATACCGATTATACATATTATGTAGCTACATAATATCGTACGTATGTGTATATGTACATGTTATACAGTAGCGTAGCCGTAGAGAATTGATTATTTCGTTCTTCCGATCTTCTTCGTTCTTACTTGATCACTTTCTCTTTCTCTCTGCTTATCTCTTTTTATCTTTTTTCTTTTTTTTTGTAGAAAGTGTCACAAACGTTGTTCATTTTTTCACCATTTTTATAAAAACAGGTATGGATAGGAATACAGTGAAATACGTTATTGCCGTTTTTCTTGGTACCGTTACGAGATAGTCGTCGGTAGATAAACGTACAACTAGCTAGCTTAGGCAGTTGTTTGAACTGTAACCGTGGGAGGAAACGTCAATGAACTCGTTACATTGGTGTTGGCTTGACCAAGAAATCTTAGTGGACGCTTTATATACGACAGTGACTTTAAATGATAAGAAAAAAAAATAAAGAAAACACATTAACATTTCTCTTAATTAATATAGATAATAAATATTCTTCTTTTAGCTTTCGATTGTTTTCTCGGCATCAAATGCTTATGAAGCCGAAGGAAGAAGCTGGAATTATGTTCCAAATACACAATACCATATACAGACTGATGAAGGTCCGGAACGATACTTTCGCTTTCAGACGTTGAACGGTCAGTTTCGAAAAGAAAAAAGATTGGCCGATGGCACGGTCATTGGTACGGAGGCCTGGCTCGATCCTCTTGGATATTTGCGTTATAAGGATTATATTGCTGACCATCAAGGCTATCGAATTCTAAAGTAAACAAAAGTAAAACGAAATTACGTTAGAATTAATATTAGAACAGATCGTTTTATATGTATTATTTTATTGTAGGTCGAAGATGACGTATGTTGGAAAGGATACCCCGATTCATGAAGCTCTAATAAGAACCAAGGATGCACCAGCACAAAGTGGAGTTTTAGTAAAGACTAGAAAGCCACCAAATCCGTTCAGGTTATTTCAATTACAAAGATAAATGATCGTCATCTTTTATCTTTATTAAAATATTTTTGTTAATGTTCATTCTCTTGTAGGAAACCGAACAGGAATGTAGATGTCAGTCCTTTGTCCAGGAACGATATTAGGACCGGTTATTACACTCCAACGACTATCAGGCCGATTACGATCTCGCCATATCTGTCACAGCCCAGCAACGATTATTATCCGAACCGAGCAAATTACGTACCACCGATCGTTGGATCGCAAAATTCGAATGATTACTCGCGAGCTAATAGTCCTTATTACGGAAGGAATTCGGTACAACCTATTCAAGCTCTTCAATCACCTGTTTCAAGTAGCGATACGTTTTACAGATTGTCGAGCCCGTCTCAAATGTCTCAAAGTCAGCTGGCCGATGATATTCTACCACATAACGAAGTCCATACTACTGCTAATGGTTTCGAATATTATCTTAGACGTCAATATCACGAGGAAGAACGTGAACCTAATGGAGAAAGTATTGGTTCTTTCGGTTATATCGATCCTTTTGGTATCAGAAGAGTCATCTATTACAAGACGGATCCACAAACTAATGGATTTGTTCATAAAAAAAATAATAGATACGTTGGCTTTGCAGCAAAGCCATACGATCCATCGCCACCTGATCTCTCTCGAACGAATAGAATGTCTTCCTAATTTTCTTCGTATTTCGAAGAGCTGATCGAAGAGTAGATCTAAAAGATCGTTGAATAATCTTAATCACGTTGCTTTTAAGTTATGCCTTATACGTACGATGTATTGCATCGATAAATTGCAACATCGAACGTTTGATGAGTCTGGACTCGATGATCCGGTTGTTATTCCCTATCGTGTATGCTAGTCTCCCTTACGAAAGTATGCGATGCGAGTAATTCTTAATTTTTTTTTTCTTCAAGAATTTCTTGTCTTTGCAAATATGAAATATCATCCAAATGGAAGTAACGATAGTTGGCACGTCGTAATTAAGTTCTCTAGATTCTTAATAAATTAATTTACTTAACTTATATCAATGATTAATAATAATATTAATAATAGCTTCGACAACGTTAACGCACTACCTCGTAAAATACTATTGACAAAAAAGTACTTTTTTTGTTCTCTCTCTTTCTTTCTCTCTTTATTTTTTTCTCTTCTTATTATTCATGAGACAAAGAGAGAAGCATATGCTTAAAGCTAATAATAAAGATGCTTTGTTCCGTAATGAACTACATACCTTTATATCATAGTCATTTACCGGAACAACGTGTTTGTGTTTCACATTCATCGTCCATTGACCTTAACACTTACCTTTACTTCCATAGGAAGGAATGACGTAACCAGTTGTGAATAACTTCTTTTTTTGTTCTCTTTTTTCTTTTCTTTCTTTTTTTTTTTTTTTTTAATGCAAATCACTTCAATCGCTATGGATAATGTAATGAATGAAAAGAAATGAGAACATAAAAATAGGAATTGGAGAACGTCGTCGCATTTCTCAAGCGTGACGCTAGGAACGAGCGAAAGCGAAGGAACAATGCTTCGTTTCTTACTACAAACGTACGTAATAATCGAGTGTATTATCGATAAAGATGAGAGGGACGGGTTTTAATACGTGATCTAATGACTTAATCGCTACGCCTTAGCAAAAATGCCATGCTATATAACACGCTAGAAACGAAACGGTGTGTCTTGATTGGGTGAGTACGAATGAAAACTGGTTACTGGGCGTTGGAGGAGAAGATTATTTGGTCCTTATTGTCGGAACTTTTTATCGTAATCGTCCCTCCTATCGATTTGTTGACTCAATGGTTGCTGTTGGTTCTTCGAAGCAGCCTCTCGGGCTTCGGCTTCCTATAAACGTAGAAGAAAAAAAAAAAGATATGTAGAAATGTATTTAAATATTGCGTTACGACCTGTTAAGCCGAAAGATCGAGATATCGAAAGAGAAAAGAAACGTCGAAGATGTTGTTTTCGCAAGAGTTTGTTCTTCCAGAACGATAGAGATGGAAAGGGATAGGAAGAAGGATGTTGCGCGAGGAAACAGGGTAGGTAAAAAGAATAGAGAGAGAAAGAGAGAGAGAGAGAGAGAGAGAGAGAGAGAGAGAGAGAGAGAGAGAGGGAGAGAGAGAGAAAGAGAGAAAAGATAGAGATAGAAGTAGATAGATGGAGACGATAAGAAATAAAAGATCGTAGGTAGCATATATGTATATAGATGCTATATATGTACCTCCTGTTGTCGAATGCCTGCGAAGATGAGGTCGAGGCCTTTTTGAATCTCTTCACTGACTGGTGGTGGCGTGGGAATATGATCGCCGGACGCGTGAAAGCCCGTCTCGTCCGCGGTATAATGAATGGTGATCAACTGCCCCTCCGGACTCATGTAGGAATAACTCCCTTGTTGTACCAATGCCTCACCTTGCTCCGCACCTTCACCAACTGTTTTGATGTAACCGCTCTCCTCGGCAATGATATTATTCCCGGTTTCGTAACTACGAAGGAATCATCGTAAGTCCGCGAAATTGAGTTAAACTGTTATTATCATTCCTTTGCGAACGCGATAACATGAGAAGTGGTTTATAATTTATCGAGATTTTTAACGTATCTCGTTCGTTACGCAAACAAAAAAAGAATAAATATTATTGTATTGAAAAGACAGAAATGTTCAACATACGTTTTGAAATGTAAGAGAAAATAAAACTGTTTTGTTTTATTGTATAGGATTCATGATTCTTGAAAATTGAATTTATAAAATTGATCGGTATGTCAGGTTTTTCATAAATACCTGGTTTTGTAAGTTCCATCATGTTCCTGCTGTTTGTTCCAATGTAAAATAGGAATTGGCGTTGTCGTTGTACCTCGTCTTCCATCGGTAGCAGCATTCTGTCGTTCATCGTCTTGGTAATTGCTGCGATAATTTGGATCTTGGGCTACTGCTAAACCCAAAACCACTACTAGTATCTGTGATCAGATAAAAAATAATTTTTAATTATGATCTATATCACAGCATATTTTTATTATGAGAGAAAAAGAAAGAAAGAGAGAGAGAGAGAGAGAGAGAGAGAGAGAGAGAGAAAGAGAGAGCACGATGTTACGTTCGAAGTATCATCCGTTTGGACCAAAAGCAACGAAGCTTCTCGGACGCTCTCGATGCGATGAGTGAAAGTAAGAAGTAAATGCCAACGTGGGTCGTTTAACTCCTGACCTGCAAACTCTACCCGACCCATCATCTCTCTTTCTCTTGCTCATCTCAACTCATTATTTTTTTCTAGTATTATAATCGATTATCTCGTGTTACGTTTGTATTACTCGACAATTTTTCTTTTTTTTATCGCATCGTTGAGAAAGCAAAATAAATTAACTCACATTGGATTAACTTACGACGATTATTAACTTACAATCACTTGGAAGGTAATTAGAATGAAATTTATCGATATTGATGTTCGATAAAAACGAACAAGTTGGCAATTATGCGGGGTATTAGACGGGTAAAGATCGAGAATTCACTTGAATCTTACATTAAAGACGTGATATTGTTTCTTTAATAAGACAATGACAAGTATGAACAAACCGATGTTTTAACAATGTCTCTCGTATATCACAGTAAATGAGATATCCTAGAGTATGAAAACATTAAATATATGAAAATGTTACTTACCAAACGTTTCATTGTGCCGAATCGATGTTTGCAAAAAGAACACTTAAGAATAAGAATAGTGTTACTGGCGCTTCACAAAGAGTATCGTTTAAGTGAACGATGATACTTGCAGCCGAACACAATCGAGTGCTATCCAGGTAGAGGAAAGAAATCCCCTTTTATACCAACTCTCACTTTACCCCTACTCGATGAATGTTCGACCATAAAGGATTCTTCATGTGGTTTATACCGAAGTATTAGTATGTAACGTAGGTATATGTTCGGTGTCTGTTTGTGTTTGTGTATGTGGGAGCGTCGCTTCCTGCGAGATCGAACCTAGTTACCTGAAGAAGCTAGACACGAAGAGATACCGCCGATGACCTTAGACATAGTTCGAAGCTTATGTTGAACGAATTAATCTCTTTGGTTCTCTCGAACTCATGCTTTATTTCCGTTTATTATGAAAGTATGCCGATGATATACTTTCATCTCTTTTTGAGATAACGTTACACATTGAATATCCAAGTCTTTCTTTATTGTGTCGTAATCGACAAATTTTCAATATGTAAATAGCACACGGAAACTATTTATGTAATTACCAACTAGCGCTTTACGTTTCTTTATTTGGAGAAGATACTTATACGTTTCAAATTATATCTCGGCAATTGATTTTCCATTTTCCACGATCGTTCGAGTTAGTTCATAATGTGAAATTAAGTAATCGTTACGCAATTCTACTTCGGAATGAATTTGTTTCCCAAAGATTATATCTCAAATAGCTTGAAATATTATTTATATATGCACGTAGCTGTTAACATCGTTATTCGCATCATCGCGAAAGTAACATTACCTTTTTCTTACTTTCCTCCTTTCTTTTTTTTTTTTTTCATGTCACTGTCACCCGTATACACCCTAATTCTTGCGCAAACGCATAGATATGTTAAACACTTTCACAAGATATTTTCTTACTTGTTCCTGGATATCAATCGTTCCACAAATTCGGCTCTTCATTCTAAGAAATTTTTTTTAAATATCAAACTTGATGTCTTTATGAATCTTCTCGAGTTGATAAATGACTTAATGTGTCCAGCTTTCACCGAAGAAATCACAAAAAAAAATTATCGATCCTATGAGATGATCGATATAAATATAGATCGAATGCTTACAATTCTCACGAATAAATGACCTAAAATCTTTTAGTCTGTACCTAAATTCTTTTTCTTCTTTATTACTCTGTAAAAGTTGACATTTTATTTTCTTCTGTTGATATCACGAGACGAGATAAGAGTACGTTCACCTATGACGCAGGACAAACTTGACACGGTTGACACGGTTGACACGGTTGACATGATGGTACTAAAAAAATGGGAAAAAGCTCATGTTGAAGCATTCAAAAATTTAAATAACATAAGTACTTACCAGCACAATTATTTGACGTAGAGCAAGGTGCATGACATGATGACAATGGCACCAGAGTTCCAGGTGGTATGTAGCTGATATGTAAAATAATGTATACGTTGAATGAAGCTATTAGAATACGAATAAAAAAAATTCCCGGAAGCTATAGAATAAATTAACAGGTACCTCAGATTATACGTTGTATTGTCATCTATAGGAGTAATCGCTGAATGATATAATGGCATTTTGCTCCAAGGTTTAGATACTGGAACCACAGGTTCAACTGGTTGATAACTCAAACGCATGGTAGTCTCTGATTCCATTGGTAAATTTGACCGTTGATATAGACGGTGTGGAGCGTACGAATTGTTTCGTAACAATGCCATATGATTGTTTGGTATGTATGACAATTTATGAGTAGTACAACCTATAAGAAAGTTTATCGAATGTCAATTTAATTTCAAACAAAGAATAGATGATAATGAAGTTATGACTCAAGCTCACATTCTAATGGCATTGGAGCACACATAAGATTATCTTCTGGTCGTATTTCTGACGGAGGTATACACTGTCGCCAAGTGTAATCATGTTTTTGTGTTGTCTCATCTTGCATAGGTCCTCTCCCTAATAATTGTCTATCACATGGTGTTATAGATTTTTCGGGTGTAACACACCAATTTCCTAGAAAGCTCAACTAAATGCATAGTTATTAATAATCAATTCTATAAAAACTAAATCACATGGAACTTATTATTAACGTATAATTATTACTCTATGAATGGTATCGTGAGAAAGTGGACAAGACGACACACAAATGTTTTCCGGTGATTTTATTGGATCACTTTTCTCACCTCCACAATTAAAGTAACTCAATTGATAAGTCGTGTTATCGTTGAAGCAACAATCTGTGTTACGAGAAAACAACATTTTTTTTGACGATGATAAAATTAATCAATATTCTCAAATATTCATTTTCCATATACTAACCTGCATTGAGTATATTTTCTGTATCCTGTATGATAAAAGGTGGTCGAGGTTTTTCACAATGTGGCCAATAGCTCAGTCTATACGTCGTACAATTTTCCATAGTATTAACTGGCTGATGATATTCTCTCTTCTTTCGCCAAGGTTGATCTTCCTGAAATACCAATATAATAATTAAAAGCAAATATTTTTCATTTAAGGATAAAAAATTTAATGTTATTCACAAAAGTACCTTTGTTGGTGGTTCATTTGACCAATAGCTCAACCTATATGTCGTGCAACCATCCATTGGTACTTCCGGTTTGCAATAATCTCTTTTAGGTGCATAAGATTCCGTAGGAAGATAACAAGCAGAAGGGAAATAGCTTAATCGATAAGTCGTGTCATCTATATATTAATTATTAGAAATTTTCATTAATTACTGTTTGAATCGATATTAATGATTTAATTAAAACTTACCAGAAAGGGAAGCGCAAGGAAGATACAAACTGTTTCTTGCCTTAATACTTTCTGGTGGTATTATCGATTTCCACGTATAATCATGTTTTTGAGTAGTTTCATCTTGCATAGGACCTCTACCAAGCCATTGCTTATCGCAGGGTGTAATGGATGGTTCCGTTTTAACGCACCAATTACCCAAGTAACTCAGCTAACATATCAATGTAGTAATAAGAAAATTTGAAACCTATTTTTTTTTTTAATCAATGGAAAAGAAAAATATTAACTTTATGGGTTGTTTCGTCGGTTATACAGCCATCACCAACAGTTAACCAATCTTTTGGTTTTATGGGTTCAACAAGTGAACGAGGCCCGTCCCAATACGAATATCGATAAGTTGTGTTATCTTCCATTGGAACATCCGGTTTCCAATAATACTACAAAATTAAAATGATAATTTTTTTGTTTTTGTAAGTATTCGTTAAAGAATTCATCATTGACACTAACTCGAATTGGTCGAAAGGATTTCGGTACTTCCGGTTGAACATATTCCTACAATAAATTTGATATTATCCTTTTTAAATATTTCTATTTCTCTGTAATTGTTTAACATATGTATATAATAATGTAGCAAAATCATACGATGAGTTATGCCGATAGTATAATTTGTACTCACGAAAGCAGTGGGTTGTGGTATGCAGCAGCAACAACAATTGCAGCATTCATCGTGATCCAGCTAAGAATAGATCAGCTTACTACGATGATGCGATCGAGAAGAGATTAAGTATATTTTTTACAAAGATTTACTACTTACTCGAATTTTATTCTTTGCTTCTATAATCGACACCGGACGCCTTTCTTTAACTCTATGATAAAAGTACAGTTCTAAATATTTATTTCGAATTAGCTTTTACACGATCTTGTTAATATACATTGTTAATATACGCATATATATAGAAGGAGAAAAAATGTGTATCAGACTAAATATTTGTACTTATAACTTTAATGAGTTACTAGTGGCTCACGGGTCGGGAGGGCAAATCTCCATAATTTCTATTTAGAAATTTAAAATTGCTGCTAAATGAAGTGCTTCCTATTTTGCAAGGTTACACGAATGGAATTTAGAAACTTGGAATACTCCTCAAGTGAGTATTACAATGAAATATGCAACGTTAACTTTTATCGTTGATGTTTTTTTTTTTAACCATTGAAAACATAGAATGCATTGAATAAATATATTGAAAAATATCATCTGTAATTGTATTACCTTAATTAAATCTAGTTAATTACAAGGAGGACTTAAATATTATATTAAATACAACTGCAGTTTTTTTGATCACGCATTTAATAATATTACTTTACGGCGAATACAAACACACGCCGATTATTCTATTATTAAAATGTTACATCGTTCGATATCCATTATCGAAAGATAAATAATTTATCAAAATCATTTCTCCTCTGTTCGATCTTCTTAAACAATAACAATTAACATTATGAACAATTCGCTTTTTAAATAATACATTTATTTCGTTTAAAAATCATACTTATGCGCGTGACGACTTATAATCCAAATTTATAACTATGTGTCTTGGAATATTATGTTGCTAGCAAAGAGAAAAGAAAAAAAAATATATCTAAAAAAATATATTTTCGTAAAATAAAAATGAATCCCATTGACTATCTTTTATGACAATAAGTATAAATATCTGACGAGGTTCATCGCACGAAACAATGATTTTATCTATTTTCGTTATAAGAGTACAAAGGACAATATAATGTCGATATGTAACGAAAGGACGTGTGTTAAACGAGCGTGAGACCAAATCGTTGCGCGATTTCCGGTGAATGAGTGGTTGCTACTGCCAGTAAAAGAGGAATATCAGCGGCATCGAGATCAAGAGCGTTGGTTAAAGCTGTGACACTAACGTCACATACATCCGCTGCCATTAACATCTCGGCAAGTGCCTCGCTTCTTAACCACATTTCCCTCAATTTTGATTCCAAGATATCCACACACTATAAAATTCATCTTTATATTAATTTATGAGACATTTATTGAGATATTATGAGAAATTTCATAATAAATTTATTCTTAAAACATTGACTATTTTCAATCAATTTCATATATATCAAATATATTTTATAATTTTAAGATAATAAACTCGTTAATTCTTCTATAAATTATTCTTACGTGTAAGGGAGAATGATATTTGCGCCAAACATAGGCAAATGCTTCCAACATATTGGCAACGAGACGTGACATGCCAACCGGTAACGGTGGACTTTCCAATGACGTGTTATTTGATAAAATTCCTACGTGCCATGTATCTAGATCTGCTAGAATACAGACAGCTTCAGCTACAGGTTGATCGATCGTGGGAAAACGTACTCCAGCGGCAACTTCCTCTCGTACGCAGCACCACCAATCTTCTTCTATATCAGATTCGACAGTTTGTTCTTCGTTTTTATCCTTTCGACGTTTTCGTCTCTTTTTATCTTTCTTTACTAAGCCTTGTACTACCAGACCCCAAGTATAATTCGTACCCCAATTACTGCTAGTAGTTGTCCTGGTATTTGGTAGTCTAGTTTGTAAAAGAGTTTTTGTAAATCCGGTTTCTTCATTAGGATTGATTTTTTTAGGAGAGACTAGCTTCGACCTAGAAACAAAAGAGCAGTTATTTGTGAAGTTTTAAATAGAAATTAATGAGATATTCGGTCAAGTTCCAAGTTGTATCACTATCGGAGACTTTGGCCAAGTTATATTTTGATCAAAATGTCAAAAGTTATACGTTGAGGAAATAACTCACCGTGGCATAGGTAATTCGATAACACTGTTGGCTTCCATCAATGCCTCTAAACTATTAGACCGAGACATACCAACTGTTCTATCAGCATTAACGCATGTTCGTAATACCTCAGTAGCGTTCGTCGGCGTTTCTAATAATTCTTTCATACCCTTATAAGTTTGTGATGATGCATAACTTTGATTTTGACATCTAGGACAAATACGCGTAGGTTTCGATTCTAAATTCGATTCCATACTCGACATGGCACCAGGCGAAGCCTGCATACTTTTTGATGATTCGGGAAAATTTCTTTGGATTATTTTTCTCAATACACCTTCAGGTAATTGAGCAGATGTGCTTGGCACTGTTGTAAACATATACGAACATTGACAATTGTAACCAAGTCGTGGGCGTGACAAATACTTGCTCGGTTTTTCTTCGCAACCGAGCATGAAATACACTTGCTGATGTTTATTTTCCTCGCTAAAACTTGTATCGTTCAATGTACGAAGATCTGATTGACTTGTTGAATGCGACTTGTTGACATAATCGACCTTACTTTTACATTCCTGTTCTAAAGAAACTCGTTTAGATGATACTAACGTTTTGTCGGCTTCGTCTTCCTCCATTTTTTTCCCAACATTTTGCATTTGAAATTGTGCCTGACATTGAACGTTTCCTTTCGGCTCTTCGACCTCTTCCGAGCCTATCTCGCTTACCACTATTTTCACTTTACTCTGCGTGCTATTTTTATTAACATTCATCGAAATTGGCTTCTCCTCATTGTCCTCCTTATCATCTTGAATTATCGATATCATCGATCTTGATGTTGAATTGACAAAAGGTTCATCTGCTTTTAACATGTATCGATCAAGGGCAACTTTCATAGTGGTACTACGTTTAAGCGTACGCCTTGACATTTCGCCTGACCTCGATCGTTCTCTAATGCATTCCGTTCTTGTATGTTCCTCACTTACATCACTTCCTGTCGCACAATCATTCATACGAACTTGTGTTTCCGTTTGCATTTCCTTACGAATTGGCACTAACGATTCGCGTCTAATCGTCACAGCATGATTCTGATCGTTAAAAATATTTCTCGGCTTTGTATAGTCAAACAAATATGGCCGTTTAATTTGCATTTGCTCCAAAAGATTGGTCGCTTCCCGAATGTCTTCTTGTATTGCACATCGATATTCTCGTTGTTTCTGCACAATTCCGCTACGGATGAAGTAAGATAGAAAATATAAAACAGAATTGATTAAGTCGGCCTTACGTGAATCACCGACTACGAGTGTGTGTGTTACTTTTACTGGATTCCCCACAGCGCCGTACAAATCGCCTAATTGAGCCCACAGGGGATTACAAGGATACCATCGATCCAAATTTTCCATCTGAAATATTAAATCGCTATTATCGATTACATTTATCGTAAATAATCCCATTCAAAATTCGATTTATTACCATTTGTCGATCGTTAGCAGGAAGTATAGTATAAACCCAACCAAGATGATACATCAGTACTGCAGTCATGACAGTACTCAAGAAACTAAAATATAAATGAACGTAAGGACGGAAAGAACGAATTAAAATCGATTTGATTTTTTTACAAGTACGTACAAATTCGTCGACTTCGTGTCAACGTCGTCGAGTAACTGACACATCTGCTGTAAACCACGATGCAAAATGTTTGAATTCATTTCTAACGTTATCACAGAATTAAGTAGTACATCGTGCCACAGTAAAGGAGGTCGGAAACTATTCGCATTCATTAGTAGCCGTAAGAGTGAAATGACAAAACGATAAGAAGCTCGGTACATTCTATCTGCCGAATCCATTCCTTTATAACTATTTTTATTTTTTAAGCCAGCAGATTCGATACAAAAATATCGTAAACGATCCAACATGCCTTCTAGAAGAGTCATATGCTCTAATAATCTCGTTTCTATTCTCCTAGAAAATCGTATAAGAAATATAACATGATTAAAGTCATATGAATTTAGCGCGAGATTTAATCGATAAAAAAAAAGCCAGAAAGAAAGAAAAAAACAGAAAAAGGAACAAAACAAGTCACCTTTCTTGTCCTTGCGTCAAACGAACTAGCATCATTAATCCAAGCCTGCTTCTATAATGTTTCTCACCACCCTCGTTGCTATTCTCGCGATACTGTTGTATACCAAATATATCATCGGAATCTGATCGACTTAAAGAAGTTGAGACTGCCCTCAACCATCTTCGACGTAAGCTCGATAAATTACTTCCTACACCGGACGAGCCACTACTCTCTAACGATTGTGAGCCTAAAATAAAGTTAACTTTACAAATCCATGGAATAATGAAAATTTCACGAATCAAACGTGACCCAACAAACTTACTTCCCCCCATTTGTGGTTGTGCGTCCACGTCCCAAACACTGCTGTTGCTCGAACAAGATGAATTTTTTCGTGGATCCAGAAATAAATCATTCGAAGACATATTTCCAGAACTTGGACGAGAAACTGCAATGTTTGCATAATGTCTGTTACAGAATTTCTATTAAGACATTCGAAACTGGCGTTCACATTAAAGAGCACATTTTGTTAATGTTCCTGTTTTAACAACACGTTTCTATCACGAGACCTAAGAGATTTATTTTTATTTACAATACTCACAAGAAGTTCGTATGCTACTATTGCTGGTATTGGAATCCACGTGCGTAGAACAACGCGTTAGTGTACCGTTCGAGAGCCTTTCACTGCGCGTAAATGAACGTTATGTCAGTCGGCATTGTAAACTATTAATAAAATAGGATGCTCGCACTGTTATAAAGCAAAACGTCCTTACTTTTGCTTGTACGTGCTGTGTTCCGTAACAGGAAAAACTTTAGTACACATGATGCACGCTGGAGATTTCATCGAATGGACCTTCAAATAACGATAATAACAATACAATATGAAAAAAATTACATATTTATTATTAAGAGAATTCTTAACGATTATTAAAAAATTCAATCACAAGATGTCAAATCAACGATTGCGACTTATTTTTTCTTTGAAATACCTTAAACGACGATCCTTTATATGTCATTGCAACAGTGCCAAATACCATTTCACTTAAAGAACTTGTAGCATCCTCAGCTGTT